TTAAAAAAAGAAAAAAATTACATTATTTAAAAATATTTAAGTTTTACCAAAACAAAAACTTTAAAATGTGTGACATATCAACAACTACAGCACTAAAAGGTCTTTCTGTTAAACAAATTTATAATTTATAAATTAAAAAAAAATTTATTTAAACTCTTACAAAATTCAAGTTAAGATATTCAATTTCATACCAAAAGCTCAGAAAAATTGGTTACTGTATAATTGCAATAAAGTGCATTTGTAAAGTGCCAACCGAAATGATATTTCTTATATATGTTATATATGTCTGAATAAATAATTTTTTTATAAATCACTTTGTATATATGTCAGTATTTTAAATATTACATATTTGTATTAAAATGTAATATGCATATTAGCATATTAAGGTGACATACAATCGCATGTGAAAACGTACAAAATATATGAAAATATGTAAATTTTATAGAGAAGTTTCGAACAGTAGTGAACTATAACAACAAAAATTATTTTTATATTATTTCTAATATAAATATTCTAATATAAACACAGCAAGTAAAATTGTTAATAAAAACTTTCCTAGTAATAATAACAAAACTCCAGAAAAATATGCGAACAAAAAAGTCAAGTACGGCTTTGGATCAGTTGGTTAAGGTGCGTTGATTCTGAGCTTCACATTTGGCAGGACACGAGTTCGATTCTTGGTACTTGCAGTCTCAAAAAATAATTATTTACGAATAATTAAATACAAGAATTATTTTCAAGACCACTGATGAGGGGTATTTGGCAATACTCGAAACAGTTGTATGGTCAGCCAAAAATTCAATTAATTAAAATAATATAAAAAATAAATTTTTGTTGTTGTAGTTCACTACCGTTCGAAAAAAAACCTCTTTATATTATTTTAATTAATTGACTTTTTGGTTGAACATACAGCTGTATCGAGTATTACCAAATATCCATCATTATTTCTTGGAATTATTTCTTGTATATAATTATTCGTAAAGACTGCAAAAATCTTAAAATTAGTAAAATATAAATTTTACTAAGTACTAATACCAAAAATTCTACATTTATAAATGATGATTATTTACTTACCTATATAAAATAGTAGACAGATTACTACTATTTGAAAAGAATCTAATCTAACTATTCTATAAATTATTTTCAGAGCAAGAACATTTGAAAACATCATTTTACCA